TTCAAAGATTCTGGAACATTTGACATTGAAATAACTACTGCAGTTTTTTCGGCTTGTGCTATTAAAATTAACTTTGAATTATTGTCTATGTTTTCACTTTGAATTTTAGAATTTATTCTTTGCACAAATAATTTTAATCTTTGCACAAAATCTAATAGTTCTTCGTGCTTATTCTTATTGATGTAATTTAATTGTTGCATCAATGTTTGGTATACTATTGAATTTCCATATTTTTCTCTAAGAGCTATTTTGATATCAGCCCAGGTTTTGAGGTCTGGCCTACTCTTAATAAAATCTCTAGATTTTTCAACTAATTTAGAGCGTATAACACTGAAAGCAAATTTTTTCTGAATTTCTTCGCCATTATAATATAGACTATGAAATTCGTCAATTGACAAAATAAACGATTCTAAGTGTTCTGGGTTTCCAGAAAAGATAGGTGGAATGGTTGCAAAAGATCGCAGAACGTCCATTTTTATCTGAATTAATTAAGCTATTATTAGAAAAGAATTCAAGTTGCTCTTCTTCTTCCTCTGAAGATGAAGTATCAAAATTCAACTTTATTATCACTAGATTTGCTAGTACTAGAAGATGCAAGATCTAACTCTGAGAATAATTCGCTCAAATTTAAATCGGATTTATTTCAGTTTCTAGTTTTTCAACAAGTGATAATGATTTTTTATTTTCCTTGGTTTTTAAGCCTAGTCTTTTTATATTTGAACTTAAAGCGTTTTTCAAAAGTTGTTTAGGATCAGACATGTAAAAAATATGGCAATTTTAGTAATTACTTACATAAAAAGTGGCATCAAGATGAACCATAGCATTTTTATCAAGTTTTATCACAAAAACATACACAACTTTTAGCAGCAAAACTTCAAATTTACGGTATTTGTCACGCATGGATATCAGTCTACTGATTTCAGAGAAAATACTTGAAATCTTAGGATCCACGGCGACACTTCGAAGATTGAAGAGTTGCCAGAGTTTCACCCGGTGGAGTTTCTTTCTTCTTTCTGTGCTTTATCTGATGGCCTCAATGCTTCACAACAGAGGGGCCAAAGGATTCGGCTAGGAGTATTTGAAGTTCTTTTTGGTATAATAGTGCTCAAGGTATAAAGATACGCCAAATCTCAACGAAAAACTATAAAGAGACTTGTAACACTATATCCTGTTCGCAGCGCCAGTTAAATATTCAAACCAGTAGAATGCTTTTTAAAAAAGATTTTCTTTAATAAGACTTAACTAACTGGTACAGTGTGTGACTAAAAACTAAACTTATTCTATGTAAAAAGCTCCCATGAAATAATGAAATACAAAATATGCTTATTCTATGATTATGCTGAGTCGAGCTATCGGGTCTTCAAAAAAAAAACCAATCAAAGATTGCTTTGGTTACGAAAACGTACGTCGCATTATTGGTTGTTTATAGGTCAGGATTTTTGACATGACATTTTGGCATTAAAGTTCATTGACAAAATTACAGAAAAATATTGCTAAGACATACGTTCAAAAAATCATAGCAATCTTAGATTGAATAAAGAATGAAGGCTTTCACGGCCGGTCAAATCTAGCAAAAAAGTTTTTTCCGGGCTATAATGCCGTGGTCCATTAGTATTTCTACCTAACGTTTCGTCTACTGCTGCGGTAGACATCTTCAGAGGCGGTGTGTTAGAGGACGAAGTGTTCTCTTCCGTGTTTCTCCGATGACTGAATTCGACGTTGAGGGAACTGCGTTATTTATATCCAGGGTTGTGGGCGTGGCTTGGATTACGGTATTTTCCTTGTCTCGTTCTCGGAAAGGAAGGGTCTTTGTTTTTCGGAGAACTGGCAACCAGCTTTTATTGAGGAGAGGGCATGAACTCTTCTTTTCTGTTGAAGTTGTTGTGGTGTTTCTGTATCTCTATGGCTTCTCTGTGTAGCCTGGTGTAGAAATGTTTGGTTCTATCCAATGTTTGAGTCTGGTCGAAACGAATGACATGGTTTGTTTGTGTAAGCACGTGTTCGGCGATTGCTGATCTATCTATTTGTCCTTGCTGACAGTTTCTTTTGTGCTCTTTGACCCTGGTGCTGATAGAGCGTTTGGTTGTTCCTACATAGACAGATCCACAAGAGCAGGGAATTCTATAGACGCCAGCCGATTCATAAGGTGCCCTAGGATCCTTGGCCGATCTTAGACTTTGCTGAATTGTTCTTGTGGGCTTGTAGATAGGCTTAACGTTGTGTCTTTCTAGCGTTCGTCCTATGCGATCTGTGACATTTTTGATATAGGCTGATTGCTTTTCTCCAAAGATGTAGAGACTCGAAAGTCGTTCCGAAATTCCTGAAGATTCGAAGAATTTTTAATTCCTTCCAATCTAACAGAATTTTTGAACGGGCGGAACGAGCCTTGCTTCGGGAACGGATCCACCAAACCAGGAAAGACCTAGCAGCTATGGACAAGGATCTTCTATCGATAAACCAAAGGTTATCAAACAGCATGCACTGGAGTGACTGGGACAAAGTTGACCGGATGACGTATGACGTGATGGAAGCCACACTAGCGAAAACAACCAACAAACTGGTAAACAAGTTTAACTCCTTGAAGCCAGTAAACACTACGAAACCCACAGGCAATGATCGCACAGCTGTCAACCTGACCCAACGCGTTCTGACTGATTCGGAAACCAGTGTTCTGAGAAAAGGAGGCAGTTTTGCGATAACACCGAAAGACCTGCCATACGAAGACATCATAGCAAATGTGGAAGCCAGCATACGCACATTACCTCAAACCACTGCGGAGGAAATACGCAATGAAACCTCTTGGATTCTACGACTTGCGAAACCTCCAAAGTGCAACCTTACATACGAGGAAAGGAAAGCTATTCGCAGCCTGAATACAAACGAGAACATACTACTCCTGCCTGCGGATAAAGGAAACGCAACGGTAATCATGAACGTGACTGACTATGAATCAAAAATCTCCGAACTTCTAGACCCCTCCACCTACAGAAAGCTGAAACGTAATCCCACTGCTTCTATATTGCGAAAAACCAATCAACTCACCCGAGCACTACCGTTGGAGCCGGAAGACATAAGGAAACTCATCAAATCTGAGGCCTTACCACCTAGAATATATGGGCTTCCTAAGATTCACAAAACAGGCAACCCACTCAGGCCCATTGTAAGTGCAATAGATTCGCCCACATACAGCATAGCCAAATACCTCACCACCCTCCTTCAACCACGGATTGGCCAATCCAGCTCTTATGTCAAGGACTCAACTCATTTCATCAAAAAGATCAGTGATATCACTCTATTACCAAACGACATTCTGGTTAGTTTTGATGTCGTCTCATTGTTTACTAAGGTACCAGTAAATCAGGCCTTAGAGTATCTGAAAGATGTTTTTCCGGAAGAAATCAACAACTTATTTCACCACTGTCTGACGACTACGTACTTTCAATGGCAAAATGAATTCTTTGAGCAGACAGATGGAGTCGCAATGGGAAGTCCACTCAGCCCGGTTATCGCCAACTTTTACATGGAACACTTCGAACAAATGGCACTACGAACGGCTACAAAGAAACCTACTTGTTGGTTTCGCTATGTAGATGACACATTTGTTGTTTGGAACCATGGAGAGGCAGAGCTCGAAAACTTCCCTAATCATCTAAACTCGATAGAACCCAGGATACAGTTTACGATGGAAGTTGAGAAGGATAACAAAATTGCATTCCTTGACGTCCTCTTAGAAAGATTACCCTCAGGTAAACTAGGACACAGAGTGTACAGGAAGCCGACACATACGGACAGATACCTCAACAAGGAATCTAATCACCATCCTAGGCAAAAGAGAGGAGTCATTAAAACTCTATCTGACAGAGCAATCCGGATTTGTGAACCCAGATACCTTCAGGACGAGATGCAACACCTAAAATCGGCACTTGAAGGAAATGGGTACTCCAAGCAGGAGATAAATAGAGCCATAAGACCGAAGCAGCAGCGCACAACTAACAAGGAACCAGCACAGGTGGCAGGGAGAGCCTTTCTTCCCTATATCAAAAATGTCACAGATCGCATAGGACGAACGCTAGAAAGACACAACGTTAAGCCTATCTACAAGCCCACAAGAACAATTCAGCAAAGTCTAAGATCGGCCAAGGATCCTAGGGCACCTTATGAATCGGCTGGCGTCTATAGAATTCCCTGCTCTTGTAGATCTGTCTATGTAGGAACAACCAAACGCTCTATCAACACCAGGGTCAAAGAGCACAAAAAAAACTGTCAGCAAGGACAAATAGATAGATCAGCAATCGCCGAACACGTGCTTACACAAACAATCCATGTCATTCGTTTCGACCAGACTCAAACATTGGATAGAACCAAACATTTCTACACCAGGCTCCACAGAGAAGCCATAGAGATACAGAAACACCACAACAACTTCAACAGAAAAGAAGAGGGCATGAACCTCAATAAAAGCTGGTTGCCAGTTCTCCGAAAAACAAAGACCCTTCCTTTCCGAGAACGAGACAAGGAAAATACCGTAATCCAAGCCACGCCCACAACCCTGGATATAAATAACGCAGTTCCCTCAACGTCGAATTCAGTCATCGGAGAAACACGGAAGAGAACACTTCGTCCTCTAACACACCGCCTCTGAAGATGTCTACCGCAGCAGTAGACGAAACGTTAGGTAGAAATACTAATGGACCACGGCATTATAGTCCGGAAAAAACTTTTTTGCTAAATCTTAGATTGGTTTTTTTTTTTGAAGACCCGATATATATTCCTGGTATTGGCAGTTTACGTATTGGTTTATCTCTATAACTCGCGATGCGTAATATGTTCTTTTTTCAGGTGAGGTGAATGGCTTATCCGGTTTGATTGGAGATAAGAATAGGTAGTTGGTTCGGAATTAGATATTAGTGTGTTCTATCTTCAATAAATAGTTGAAAATTATATTATAAACTTAAACTAGGTAGACATCGGTCCGATATTTCTATTTTATTTGTTTTCAGTTGTTCTCACGACTGTGATTTCGATGAAAACGGCGTAAGATGCTCTTGTCCAGAGGGTTATAGCCTGAAATTAAAAACATGCGTCCTAATTAATCCTTGTGCCGATAAAAATGGAGGTTGTTCGCATGCTTGCACGGCCATAAACGGTCAAGCGATTTGTCGGTGTCCACCTGATTACGAACTTATAGGTAAGAATTCAATCTCACATTATAACAAAATAATTGTTTGCTTTGATTACTACAGACAAAACTTGCTTCAAAATGAATCCCTGTTCGATCAACAATGGAGGTTGCTCGCACGGTTGCACCAACGATCACGGCGAAGTCAAATGCATATGCCCTCCTGGATATGAATTATTCGGCAAAAGATGTTTGGACGAGGATCCATGTCGAAAACACAACGGCGGTTGTTCGCACTACTGCAATCATATAGACGGCAAAAAAGAATGCAGTTGTCCCACAGGCTACGTTCTACGACCAAACAGGAAAACTTGCAAAGAAATTAACGAATGTAGAGTCAATCGGGCGGGTTGTTCGCACGGTTGCAAAAATACTCCTGGCTCCTACGAGTGCACTTGCCCGCTAGGATTCCAGTTGGAACATGACAATAAAACTTGTGTAGATATAAATGAGTGTGAAGTGAATAACGGTAACTGCGAAATGGGTTGCAGAAACTACAAAGGTGAGAATATAAATTGTTGGATGTTGTAGCAATCGCGTATATACTACAGTCATTTTACTATTTAGTTGTTTTCATCTGCATTTTCATTTGGAAGTAATATAAAGTTTCTTTCTAATAGATAATATACTTACATGAGTCTTCTTACATTCAGGTAGCTTCAGATGTGACTGTCCCGAAGGCTACGTGCTCCAGCGTGACAGAAAAAGCTGTAAAGCTGGCGAAATTCGCCAGTGTCGTATTCCGGAACCACCCAAAGACGGCACTATGAGATGTCTGGGATATCGTACCGATTATGGTTTAACAGTTCCAGCGGACACCAAATGCGACGTTTGGTGCAACGAAGGATTTAAGCTTAGAGGACAATCGAGAAGGAATTGTAATGAAAATGGACAATGGGACAATTTGGATGCTGAATGTATTGGTGAGTATATATTTTGCTGTTTGTAAATTGTTGCGATTTGTCATAAATATAAACGTACCTACTTTTAATTATTATTACCTGTCTTATGATTAATGATTTAACATCATCATCATAGTCACAATGTCTTGCCAGACATGTTGTGAACTTATAAAATGTAAGTCAGAACTGGAAGATTGCCGACACGCAGGTTGTTAACTGCTTTGAAAACCGCATTCCGCCACCTTTCGTGATCATTTGTGAATTCGGTCGGTCAATTGCGACACTAACGTCCAACAATTGTTTGGCCGCATCCACCCAGCGTGTAGGAGAACGGCCAGGAAGCCGTCATTTCGGGGCATTACCCAGGAAAACAAGTTTTTCCATATTATCGCTATTATGGATATGGCCGAAAAACGCCAGGATACGCGTTGAAACAATGAAGGATAGTCGTTTTGTGTTTCCGAGTTCGCACAAAATGCAAACGTTATTTCGGAGAGCTGCATGAGGAATTTGAGCATTCTCCTCCAAGTCCACATTTCAAATGCGTTTATACGGTGGCGATCTGTCTTCAACATACCAAGTCTCAGAGCCAAACAAAAATATGGAAAAGACAAAGAGACTGGACAAGTGACATTTTGGTGGCTTTCGTGATATGATTGTCACGCCATATTTTAGTTAATCTTGTCATGGCTGACCGTGCTTGTCAATGCGTCGACGGATTCCAGCCTCGCAGCCCCCCGAATTTTCGATCAGAGAACCGAATTATACAAAACTCTGGACTACCTGACAATGGCCTACTAATGTTATGTCATGTTCCCTATCAACGATCATGACCTTGGTCTTATTTTAGTTGATACTGAAACCACATGCTACACTCTTGTTCGAAGATGTTAAGTAAGGTTAACAATTTACCCTGAGAACAATTAGAACAAGCAATAAGAGTAGTATCGTCAGGAAACCTTAAACTAGATATCTTGATTCCACTAAGAGTTACAACATCGTGCCAACCGTCCATTACCTGTCTCATCACAAATTCGGAATACCTAGATGATAAACAACATCGGCTATAACACACATCCTTGACGAACCCCTTTTCTTGTTGTAGTCCGGTCAAACATGTTAACGTCAATTCTTATTCGAGTATTATTGGACTCATAAAGCTGTTGCATGAGAAATATCGAGTGGTGAGGACCTCTCATGTACCTATTGAAGTATTTCCCATAATTCAGGCCACTTTACGTTGTCAAATGCATTAGAGTACTTAGTTCACAAAGCAGATATAGACTGGAAAGTAATGGCCTTTTCAGTAATCTGCCTCGAGTTCAAGATCTGTTTGCGCGTACCACGTTCCTTGACGAAACCATCCTGCTCTGGAGATATTTGCCATTCCACAAAGCACTCCAAACGAGACTGCAGATTTAACAGCATAACCTTGCTTGATTTGGAGATCAATGAGAGTAGACGATATTTTGTCTAAGTTTACCGGAGATCCCTTTTTATGAAGTGGCACAAGGATTGAAATGCTTCATTCGTCTAGCCAGACACCGAAGGAAAGTTTAACATTAATATTAATATTAAATTAATAAAAATTAAATTAAAATACATTATTAAATACCTCATCAGTAGTTGTCATTAAACCTACTATAGAGTACTTTATAGCAAAACAAATATCTGATCTAGTTCCTAACAATAAATAATAAAGCCTTATACTTGTACAATCGTTTCCTTGAATGAGGAAAGGTGGCAGAGTAACCATAATTTAAGACAACTCATAATCCATTCAAGGATTGGAAAATTCAACGAACGGTGCAATCAGTTATATCAGCAGTTGGAATTGTGGAAAGCATAATTTTAAGTTTGGTGGGTAATTTTTGTTGATTATTCTGCAGAGAATCAATGTTGTGGTAAATTTCTTCGTTAACTTCAAACACTGACGTAAGGACTTTGACCAATAATCCTTTTTTTTTCTTGTGCTTCATATTTCTTTCAACGTCTTAATGACTAATCGTGTGTGTTTCAATTCTTCTTGGAGGTGGTTTGTCAGTGATGTGCAATGTGTTTCATTTGATAACAAAACAAAATTATTTCGTTGCAGAGGTCGCCAAACTGGTTTGTGATGTTGATAGCTTCGGCTGCATTCTTTCCGGTTTTTGATTTCTCGTAATCAATTTCAATTCTTAATGTTCCTCTATTAATTCTGGCAGATCCGAGATGCTCAATGTAAAACCCTGGTGGTGAATATTTCAGCGTAAACTTTCCCTGTACTCGTTGGCCGGCACTTATACAGGTTGGTATTGACCGTATCGGAGCTGCAGTCATCATGTGACTAGTTACTTGGCTGGACGGAAGTGTCCTAGTGGCTTCTTCAGTTCCACTTCCTACTGGTTGTGGAATGACTGCAGAGACTGCAAACTTTAGTGCAAGCAGAAGAACACCATAATCGGAAAGCGAATCGAGTTTTTTATGTAGATGACAGATTCAAAACAAAGGCAGTTGTGCCAGATGTTAAAATCCCCTAGGTTTAATTTACGTAAATGGTCCAGAAACAAAAGTGATTTTCTTCAGAACGTTCCAAAGAAAATCCAAGAACAAACACTCCACCAGTTACCACAGGATGATGCGACGAAATCGCTTGGGGTATTATTATGATGGTCTACAACTGATGATACAGTCTGATTTCGAGTATCAGTTCCTACTATCTATTCTACTATTATCTGGAATATAACTATTTGATCCATTGGGTTTGCGGTCACTAATAAATTATCAAAGCAAAGCTATTAATTCCAAGACTTATGGACAGAAAATCTGGGATGGGATCAAATCGTAGATGATGAAACCGCTGAGAGGTAAAAGATATTACAAAATCATCTAAAGAAGATATAAGAACTCGAAATTCCTAGATGAATATATTATGAGAGGGCATCAGTTAGTTGAAGCTATATGAGCTTTGTGATGCTTCTGAAAATGCTTACGGTGCAGTAATCTATAGCCGTACAAAAAACACAGTCGATCGAGAGAGCATCATAACATTAGTCCAAGCAAAATCCAAATTTGCTCCTAAGATGAAGACTACGCTTCCCAGATTAGAGCTCTGCGCAGCGGTGGTTTTATCAAGATTAGGTACCAAAAAACACACTCAGAGCCTTAGAAATTAAGAAAGCGTAGTTATATGTATGGACTGATTCGATTTTAACGTTGGGATGGATTCGAGAAGATGCGACTAAAAGGAAATCATTGGTAGCCAACAGGTTTGCCAATAAACACAGAAATATACCACAAGAGTGCTGCAATCATGTAAGAACAGATATAATATATAGGGGTATAGATCCAGAGAAGCTTATCAATCACAATTTATGGGTAACCGATCATCTTGACTATCGTCCGCAGCTGAGTTAGCCACAACAAAAACTTGGCAGAATGTGAAGCAAGAGGTTAAAATGCTTCACCAAGCGTCAATAAACGCAGAAAATGTATTAGGGACTATGAATTTCCCAACATTACAAGGTTGGTGCGAATACTATCACACTGTCGAAAAATCTGTAATAGGAAGGATTCATCGGCCTTATCTGTAGAAGAAATGTCTGACACCATAAAACACGGGGAAGTAATGTTCAGATTGATGAATTTGCCTACGATTACAAAATACTCTACAATAAGAGAACAGTCGACAAAAATAGTAAACTACGCAGTTTCAATTCTTATTTGGATAATTACGAACCTATAAGAGCGAGCGGAAGACTGGAGAGATCGGTTGTGTCCTATGATGAGAACTGAGAAGCATCATATTATTCTGTTATAAGTGTTATACCATAGCCGATTATCAAAATTAATTATACTAGAAGCACATCAAAAGACCCTACACGGTGGAAACCAAGCAATACTTGCATATATCAGACGAAAGTAATGGATAATCAATCAATGGTCGACGAGCAGTGAAAAGTATTATCCAGCACATGTGTGACGTGCTTACGATACAAAGCAACAAAAAAAAACTGCTGAACAGCAAATAGGGCAACTACCATCAGAATAACACCAGCCGCAACGTACGCTCGCACTCGAATAGATTACGCAGAGCCTATCCATATACAAGCAACTGAAGGCAGAGGACATAAGTCCTACAAAGAGTACGAAGACTATATTGATATGGCTGCAGATGCATTTTTAACTAGGTTTCGTAGGTTTGTCGCACGTGCTCAAACATATACAGTGATAATGGAAATAATTTTGTAGTAGAGTAGAATCCAGGCAGTTTGAAGCAGAAATTTGAAACGTAGTACAAGACGCATCAATCACAGGCGCACTTACCTGGGAATCAAATGGCACTTTATCCCTCCCGCCACACTGTAGAGGTTTGTGGGAGGCTGGATCATGGAAATCCGTGAAGCAACATTTGAAGTATATTGTAGTCCATGAAGCTACCCTTACATGTGATGAGTTATCAACATTAACATGTCAGATCGAAGCATGTTTGAATGCCAGGCCATTATGGCCGCTATAAGACGAATTGGATGATCATGTGGTACTAACACCAAGCCAGCATTTTCTTGTAGGAAGAGAACTGGTATCTACGTCAGGCCCAGTAACAACAGACTTGACTACCGAGTTATCACAGCGATGGAGGCTGATACAGAGGTGTACAGAGACACACCCTGGTGGTCAAGACTGTATAAGTAAAACATACGTCAGAGGCGTACGAATAAGCATCGTTCATGCAATGATGATGATACTTCTCGTAAGTGCCGCCCAACAAGTACAGGGAAAGTTTCCGCTAAAATATCCGCTACCAGGGTTTTACATTGAGCATTTCGGACATGCCAGAATTAATGGAGAAACATTCAAAATTGAAATTGATTACGAGAAATCAAAAATCGAAAACAATGCAAGCGCGGCTATCAACATCACCAACCAGTTTGACGACCTCTGCAATAGAAGAACTTTGTTATGAAATGAAACACGTTGCACATCACTAACAAACCACTTCCAAGAAGAATTGAAACACACACGATGTATCATTGAAACGTTGAAAGAAATGAAGCATAAGAAAAAAAGAGGATTATTGGGCAAAGTCCTTACTACGTCAGTGTTTGGAGTCAACCAAGAAATTTACCAGGACATTGATTCCCTCCAGAGTAATCAACAAAAATTAACCACCAAACCAAAATTATGTTTTCGTCAATTTCTACTTTAAACGCAACTGAAACAAAATACCACACATCTGAAGTATTTTCAACAACGCATGGATCAAGGACTCCAGGCAGTAAATGACATGCAGAACTAGTACAGCTCTATAGTCACTAACAAGCTCAACATTCTCATCTTGAGCGCATATCAAATTGTTAACTACATCAAACAAATCAGCGACTTCTATACACAGCTATTACACATCCAGTTTAATAGAGGCACGCTCGACACTCTATGAGTTAAGTATCACCAGTATAAATCCGACAAATTATAGAACGCACAAATGGAAAACTACCGAGTCCTCTTAGTATTCTGCCAACCTTATTGTAGACAAGGAAACTAGCACAGAATAAATGTAGGTACGTTTGTTGAGAAATTATTGCAAATAATAGCTAAAGATCAATCAAAATTAGAATTTAAGAATATTTTCGGGATTCATACAAATTCCAAATAAATGGCGGATACCTACCTTGATGGATGATGTTCTGCACGTGAAGGAGGGCCCTCCAGAATCCATTTGGTTACAGTAAGGCAGAAGTACCGTGAAGTCACGATCCAAAGTTATAGAATTTTGCGATAAAAGGTGAATTTTTGGTATTTTCTTTCTTGCTCGAATTTGCCGTCCTGTACCGGTCTCTAGCTAATATCGGTTCGTTCTCGTTATTCGGGTTTCTGATGATCTGTCTTCTTCGGTACGCGTATGCGCTCATCTCGGTCTCAAATTTTAAATTTTGAATGGTAAGGTTAAAAGCGAAAGTATTAAATGAATGAATTTCTTTTACTTGCACGTACAATGAAATTAACATCAAAATATTTGGACACTTCCCAATTATAGCCTTAAGTCAGTTCACGGTCGTACAAGTTAAGGCGGAAACAAACAGGCCTCAGGTCATGTGAAGCTTATGTGCTATCAATTTATCATGATTTAACCGTGATAGCATGTTAAGGAACTAAGGAACACATTTCTATCACGTTTTATGATGTAGTACGCAAATTCATATGCACATTCGGGCAAGTTTCTCTTTGATATCTGTATTGTTTGTTTGTTTTTCGTGACGTTTCAATGAGTCTTTTCCACGATTTTTTTTTATTGGCTTATCTGGAAGGGGAATCAAAATAAAGCCCAGAAATATTTTTTTTTCCGATTTTTTTGGGACCGGGAAAGGCCTTAAATTTTCATTTGAAATTCAAAATTTTCAGGATGGTGACGTCACGCGCCTAGATTTTCTATTGGCTGCTTTCTTCCAGTGTTGCCATGCGGTTGATGATATCACGAAATTTCTCTACGAATTGTGTTCTCAAAGTGATAAGGAATCGATAACCCATCGATCTCTATTCTCCGTGAATTTAACCTCATTTTTGATATGTAAATAAAGAGTAATTTCATTTTATTTATCTGAAAATATAGCTGGGATTCAATAAACTAAAATTGTGCCATTTCCAAAACCCATTTACCTGAATTTTGGTTTTTATTGGGGCGTCTGAGGGTTTAACTGTGGTCGGTCGGTGGACTAATTAGGTAGGTACTTACTTCACATTAGAATTTTAAACCTGATGCATTCAAAAGAAATATGTACATAACTATAAACAAAAAAATAACAACATTTATACCATTTAATTTTGTTTTAAAAGTTTATTAAAATCGATAATGGTTCCAGGTTTATACAATATACCTACATTACAAATGCAATATATAGCTAGGTATCAGTTTACATGTAGGTACAAAAATCGCCTTAATCTTACTTATTTTAATAATAATATGATACAATCAACTTTCAATTTATTTATTCAAAGAAACTCCATTTTAACAGTTTTTACAACAATAATAAAATATGTTTAACAGTGTAGTAGAGTAGTAACATAATTCCTAGATCATATTCATTGTATGTAAGTATTTACCATTAAGGTAGGTAAGTAGGTATATACCTACAAGCTATACATACATAGGGGTGAGATTTTTGTTTTTGGGACCCAATCAACACATTCTTCACATTCCTAGCTCAGAATGCTATTATTTGCTTCATCTACTATGACTCTTTATTTGCTCTTATGTACTTTGTGTTATGGGGTAATTCTACAGTTCTACACTGAACAGTAGGTACCGTAATGTGGGGGTACTTGCAACAGTGGCACAACTTGCAACAATATTCATCGGGTGGAATTTTTGCTTTCCTCCTCCTCTGGCTTGAGTTGCGCGTCAGCCGCTAACGTGTTACCGTTCAGTACGGATCAGTAGGTTGAAATGTGAGTAGGTTTAGCGTTGAAAAATTTTAAACACGGAAAATTTGGCGCCATTTTCTGACAGCTCTAGCAAGTGCTCTAAATTGTTGCAATATAACTTCTCCTGTGCAAAGCTTATTTACCCTAGGATTTGTATCAAATTTGGATATGATGTGCTTGAATGCTTAGTCTAAAACATTGAATATCTAGTTTTGAGTTAGGTTTGAAGGTTTTCGTAAATAGATTTTTTTTAAAATTGCATGTACAAAAGTGGGTAACTTGCAACATGTCTCGCAAACACAAAAAACAGTTAGGGAGTAGGACCTATCGTATTTATTCCAACGAAACTTTGGAAAATGCATTAAAGGCCATCGAAAACGGATCAGGGATTCGGGAAGCATCGCGAGAATTCGGAATTGACCCATCAACGCTTTCTCGGAAAAGAAGAAACTTGTTTCCCCTTGATCCTGGTAGGCAGCCAATAGGTATATTATCCAATCTCTGAAGATTGCATCATTAAAACTAAACAGAATTTCTACGCCTACAAAGAATATTCTAGTTTCCGTAATAGCTTAGTTACTCGAAGATATCATCAGTCGACCAATCATCTTTATACTACGCCAGTTATACCTGCAGAACCAGCAGTTCTTGGGATTGTATACAACTTCAATCGATTGGCAAATGAAGAAAAGAAGCTTCAAGAAGATAACCTGGAAACTATTTGGGAAGAAGCAAGACATCACGCGACGATCGTTAGCAACATTTATACTATTGGAATAATAACAGCCCTAGCCATCAGAGGTTTCACAATAAAAGCCTTAATTCGAGCATGGATCTAGAAGAAAGAAAAGCAACAAGATCAGACTCTGCTTGAAGAATCAATTGTCCCTACGATCATCCCTAATATTGAATTATTTCGCCATAAAAAAACCACATTAAGTGTTGTATAGTAGATACAAGGCGTATTCGTCCTGAGAAATTAAAACATTCCAGAAGACAAATGAATTAGAAATAAGGAGCAAAATTATTCGATTCCTAGATACCTAACGATGGAATTTTGGGAATAGGTGGTCAATTGCAACAATCACACTCACAATTGTTATACAATAACAAACATTTCATGATTGTGGTGTATCGAAGGCACCTGGCTGGATAATTGTGGGCTTACGAGAAGTTGGAGTAAAATACATGAAATACCTTCTTCAATGAATTATTGGAGAAATGACTTACTCCGATCACCCCCATGAGGAACTGACCACGCTAAAACATCAGATTTAGGCCAGTCCTAACTCAAGATCACTATTTAATGATCTGAAATAACTAGCAGCAGACTTTTTGATTAGATGTGAAGTAATCTCACCTCCAGATCCAATTTCCACAAACATCAACTCATATTTTAATGAAAAATGGAAATTGGTGCAAAAAATCAAATGGGACTAACTTCAACAACGATATAAACACTGAAGATTAGAAAATTAGTTTTAATCAAGCAAATTATCCTAGTTATAGAGAGGCTATTTCTCTCACTAAAATCACCGCTGTAGTCTCTTCTACAAGCGATAAATTTGTTTGAGTAGTCTCTGAGGAAATAGCAGATGTACATAGTATAAAAAGGCATTCACAATTCACATAAATTGATTTTCGAGTTTTCTTCTTGATGATGACATTGCAATTAGGATAAGATTACACACGATTTGTATTCCAAAATAATTCCTCCAGTATTTCAACCAAATTCCTTTTCTAGTTGCAACGTGTCCAAAGTTGCCAAGCTTTGCAAACGGTTGGTTCCTGCCGGGAGTTTGCAACACCGGCAAAACTTATCCAGGCGAATCGTGCTCGATCCATTGTCGATCTGGCCATCGACCATCGGATGAGTTCCAGAAAATCACTTGCAATGACGATTTGCGATGGTCCGTAGATTTGAATAGACCGGAAATTTTGGAACAGTTTTGTATTCCAGGTAAGACAACTACCTCCTACCGGATTGATTCAATATGCGGGTTGATATATTTTTTTTTTTCGAAGATTTTACTCAAGATATACGAGACGTTTACATTCAGTGTCCTAATGACGGAAGACTTAATGTCGTGCTACCACCTGGACAACGCAGTATGACTGTTCGATTTGCTCAGCCTGAGACAAATGTAGATTTTGAAAGGTATTGGTTTTTGTCAAACTTTCTATACAAATATAGTAGATCCTTTACTTGATGTTATCAGAGTTATCATTGATGGATTAGAGTAACCATAACGTGGACTATAATTACGTTTTTATTTAAGATACGTTGTCGCCCAACCATCCTGGGGCAAACGTCTAGAATCCGTTCTATCAGCGGGAACCACAGAAGTAACATTCAAGGCAAATTATGCAAACAGAACAGTTTCTTGTAAATTAGCAATTTCCGTAAAAGATAAAGAAAATCCACGAGTAAGCGGATGTCCTCAGGATATAGAAAAAGTTTTGGAAAGGGGTCAGTCTAGCCAGATAATTTCATGGGACGAGCCACGATTTGAGGATAATGTTGAAGTAGTCAATGTTTATAAGTCAAGGGTAAATATGTTTTTTTTTAATACAATTACTGGTTATAATAAATTCCAATTGTTCCATCAGGCTCCTGGAACCGAATTTGTTCCCGGGATACATCATATCAACTATGTGGCCACAGATAATTCAGGAAATAGGGCTTATTGTCGATTTATAGTTGAAGTCAAGGGTTAGTATAAATAAGAACGTGCCTGTTTTGTTCAATAATTAATTCTATTTCAGATTCTAATGACTTAGAGATATTGAATTCATTACAAACTCACGATTACACCATAAATTCCGATAATTCTAATGAAGGATATTACAAAGCAGTGTTAATATGTCCCAGTGGTGCTCAATATGAGGTAATCACAAGGAATTTTACAAATAATGTAGTTCAACATTTAACATTATTATAATCAAATTCAATTGATCAACAATAATTGAGTTTGTGAAAAAACAGCTTTTCTATTGATGTATAATTTTCAGGACTTAGTAATCAGACAACCTGAACCAGGATGTAAATGGCAACACGTCAAAGTAAACAGGCCACAGACGTACCAAAATCCGAAGATCCCGCCGCCACCGAGTTTCGACGAAAACAGCATTAATTCTCAATATTTCCAGATTCACTATCAGAATAAGAAACCTCAAAATAAACATCCGAATGAGGTAATGGCACCTAAGAATCCTAAACCTTTTAAAATGCCAATTTCAACGAATAATGTTACTCCCAAAGTGTTCGCTGAAAGTCGTTTACCTGGTTACTTAAGAAATCGCAAGAGGAAAGAATTTTTCAGGTGGAATAGAAAATAAAATTATGCCATAATAAAAAAAATATATCTAATTTTACTTTTAATGATTTGAGTTTCATGTATTAACAAAATAAGTACAAAGATTTTTTTGTAAAATAAATTGAATTAAATTTAAAAAAAAAAAAAAACAATTTATCTCATTCCCCCTTTGTCCAACCCTATAAGTATACGGTGATACGCCACTTTAGGGATGCATTTATGATCACCCCCTCACGGGAGCCTTAAGGGAGAAAAACATATGTATCAACTAAACACCCTCGATGATGGGGGCTGAAAATGCAGCACTGCATTAAAAGTCCATTATTGAATCTTCAATTTCACAATGGAACGCTAATTTCTCGTGTATTTGCTATGGAGTAGGTTTATCATATATGCGGGGCGTTGATGTGGCGATAATGCAATTTTATTAAGATGTAATAATAAAGGATGTCCCACTAGTATGTTCAATAATAGCTGTGGTGAATTTATTGACCACGTCAATAGAAATAAAAATTGGTATGCATATTTGTGTGTAATGAATGGAACTGTGAACCATTTGATATCGATAAACATTTTAGTTGTATTAAAAAGTATCTATGTACCAGTCATTCTACTTATCTACTTATTTATCTTCCTTTTGAATAAAATTAAAAAAAACTCATTTTCGATGAAGCTAGAGGTTTTCATCACATGTGGCTCAAGAAGATATCCAGAAAATGTAAGAATGCCATTCGGACGTGAGAATGCATCAGCTACTTTCCAGATAGTTATAGAAAATGTCTTCAGAGAATTTTAAGTAGAAATCTTTTTTAAGATATTTCAAAGCTTTGCAGCGATTGGATTTTAAATCAAAATCCACGTGAACAAATTTGAGTTTCTCAGTGAGAAAGTAAGTTTGTCGGGTCATGTCATAAACCAAAATTTGTCAAATTAAACTGAAATTAAAGTAATTTTGGACTGTCCAATACCCAAAACAAGTCAGATTCATGGATACTACATGAAATGTATTCGGGACTTTGCAAAAATTACTAAACCGTTGACTAGTTTTCATAAGAAAGATCGAACCAATTATTATGCTCTATCCATATCCAGATTATTCGAAATCTCATGCTATATAAATCAGAGTCGAGATCAGATTTATTACTTCTTCAAAATATATTTTACATTTACTTTCAGAAACTCTGGATTTATTCGGAGCTAACAAAGCCCTGATTATTGAAAACTTCAAATCAAAGTTAACTGGGAAATTATAAGTTGAACAACTAGAACAGCTGTGAACCTTTTTGATTCTATACAAATTTTTGCCAATGGACTTCCTATCAGAATTACCAAATGGATAATATACCATTACCGACTTAGATTATCTTTTTCAAGTTTTATCAATATTGATTGAGATATAAATTAGTAAAAATGTTAATAACAATGTTTATCTTTTTTTTACAATAGTATTACAAATAGGTTGTTTGTCGCTTTTATTTCAAAGGTGTAAAATTCCAATCATTATCCAAAGAAAGTCCGCCATTGCGGAAAAGCCGTGGGAAAATACCAACTGCGACCAATGGAAATCGTTGGGTATAGCAGGCTCCAGACTGTATCGATTCTGCTGGGGGAGAGAACTAAAAGCCTAGCAGAGTTAAATCGACATTTCCGTCGTGGGAAAATCGCAGGTGTTTCCAGAGTAAATTCGAGTTGAAAAAATACTATACGTACAGAGTGAGAGACATCGTTTTGGAACAAAAAGCAAAATAATGCTTCTATTAGGTTACAGCGGTTACAGACTATAAAATAGTCTGAAAAATCGTAAGAAGATTCCTATCGAGATCAAGAAAAAGACATAACTAGGTATACCTCATGAAATTATTCCAAATTCATTTTATGAACAATCTATTTAATTACTTATATACATATTTACATTAACAAACATAAAACAACTTATTTAAATTATTAACCATTGAAAATGACTAGAGTTAATTTGGTTGTTGAATCATAAATACAAAATAAATTAATACAGAGTTAAAATAATAATAATACCTAGTAAATAGGAACAAACAACATAGCGAAGGTAAGATGACTTATTGAAAAATAAAATAAAAAAATCACTCAAAATGACTAGAAAAGAGTAGGTATATAAATATTGATATTAGGTATCTCATTCAGACACAAATGAGGAACTAGAACCATCTTTGTTCGTTCTAGGATCTTCGGGAACCCAAACTTTGGCGTGCATTGTACCGTTCGAGTTGGGTTGTTTTTCTCTAGACCACGATAGAGAATGGGCAGTGTAAAGACCGCCGGCACCTGAAAAAAAAAGGTTGATTCTATAACTTTTTCAGGTGTACCTACCAAGGAAAATTTGTGTAATTAATAATCCAAAAGAAATTTATTTATTAAATACATTAATTTGTATAATTTTTTAATCATAACTCTAAAAAGATACGATAATATAATTTGAGAAAAAAATGTGTAGGGTAGATATTTGGAAAATTCAACACTGATATAGGTCTGCCCCGACGAAATCACTGTGAAGGTCTTCTGGTGAAGACAAGGCTGGATGTCTCAAAAAAAATTTAATGTGATTAATAGATATCTACAACCTGAATAAATAAAATACTGTAATTCTCCAAATTTCTAGATGTTACTCCGATTTGTTAGTAGTGAAAAAAAGGAAAACATCGAAAAATTGAAAGACTCAGAAACTTTTGAACTATTATTCGTTTTCCAAGTGCATAAAATAGTGAATGGTGAGGAAGAATTTGAAACTAAGAAGATGAAAAAAAATAAAAACAAATTGGTTAATTAGATGCGAAAGCCCAAAGAATAATTGTGTCAATTGTAGATAAACGAGTAAAGGGTGGGCCAATTTGGACACTTTAAATAGGAAACGTCAATTTCTGAGCGAAATACAAAGAAATGAACTGAGGCTCATATTTCATGAAATTTTGATTGGTGCAAACCGCATTTTGATATCTTCAACCGTTTAGCCGCTAGAGGGCGATTCTCGATTTTGAGCAATATTGTGAAACCTTCATAATTCTTTTTGTTTATGAAAATAATTGATTTCCGTAAAAACTTTCTAGAAACACTTTTTTAAGCAGAATTCAGTGACGTTCTCAGTTTTTTTCTATTTGGTGCCGATTTTAAAATTTTGACAAAAGTTTGATTTGTTTCAATAGGACACCCTTTATATTAATAGCTCATTGAAAAGCTATGATTTTTCTGATTTTAGTAATATAAAGTTCGATAGCTTTATCTCTAACCATTTTCGAAAAAAAATTATTTCGGTTTTTCTCATAAGAAACAATGTGTTAGAAAAGGACTTTAAATCTATAAGGAAAATGAAAAAGGTCTCTTTCCAACACATTGTTTCTTATGACAAAAACCAAAATAATTTTTTTTTCTCAAAAACTGTTCGAGATAAACCTATCGAACTTTATATCATTGAAATCACCAAAAGCAGAGCTTTCCAATAAGCTATTAATATATAGGGTGTCCCATTGAAAAAAACCGAACCTTGATCAAGTTGGGACCAATTAAAAACAATTGAGAACGTCACTGAATTCTGCTTCAAAAAGTTCTTCTAGAAAGATTTTACGGAAATCAATTATTTTCATAAACAAAAAAGTTATGGAGGTTTCACATTATTGCTCAAAATCGAGAATCGCCCTCTAGTGGTTAAACGGTTGAAGATATCAAAATGCGGTTTGCACTAATCAAAAATTCATGAAATTTGAGCCTCAGAGTGGAGAGTTCATTTTTTTGTATCTCGTTCAGAAATTGACGTTTCCTATTAAAAGTGTCCAAATTGACTCACCCTGTACCTAATGAAGTGCGAGGCACGATGCAGCGACTGAAATTTATACAAAGCTACAATATATTATAGAAAAGATGAAAAGCAACAAAAATGCAATGTAGGAGAGCCGGCAATATTAACGGGTATGTGATCGTTGCACGTTGTTTTGCTTGCTAAATACAAATTTTTGAAAGTGAAGGCTTTCAAAGTTACTTTTGAAGTTAAAAGAAGATTCTGTGAAGAAGATTTTGCATACGGCTGTAGGTCTTTAGACAAAAAAAGAAACATGAAATTGTGTTAAAGTGTTTGCCGCATATGATGAGAACCCCCTAAACCGCAAGGTCTTCCTATTTGTTGCGTTTATGGTTTTGTTCTATTTATAAAATTAATAAAAGATTCTTTTTATAAAACAACTTTACGGCCATGAGAATCAAGGCAACCCATCCATTTCGTTGAAAGGTTACTATGAACTATTGTTTTATGTAGAAATTATCCATTGCAACGATCACATACCCGTTAGTATTGCCGGCTCTTGGACTATAAAAGGAAATAGACATAATAATACACACACAATATTTGGAGAAGTATTATCTGGCTTGTTTCACAAGATGCTTAACAGCAAAATGTTGTTCATTGAATGGGGTAGTTACTCGGTTTATGAAGATGCGAGTTGTGTCCAACATATAAATATCATATAAGGTACCTGACCCTAATAAGGCCATGTATTTAATAAGGCCAGTGCCTTTTATTGCTTAATATTGAACCCTATTTTCAAAAATTACAACATGTATTATTAAAAAAGAAATCTATAATGAAAATCAAAAATTATTGCAAGGGTTCCTAACAACTCGTCATGTCGAAAAATGGCCAACCACGTATTTCATATGTCACGTTATATCTTTGAGGCTGGAACTCAATTAGCTTATACTTATACGTGTTTATAAAGTGAATGGAGCTATTGTAATTTTTTAACGGACATTTATGTATTGAGAAAGCTACAGAGTAAGTACAGAATAATATCTTTGCTAGATTTCTAATTACAGACTTTTTTTTTATCAATTTAACATGTTCCTAATAAGGTCATCATACGAAAAATGTTCAATTGGCCTCACATTACAGTGTGTTTTTGAAAGAATGTGTCATATTATTACCTGAGTGATGTTTTTTTGAAACGCCTGGAGCCTAACCAAGCAAGAGATGCTGCGTTCTATTTATCCTAGTTGTATGTAGACCTATTTAGATCACCATCCAGGACTTGGAATTATTGCTTCTTTAGGAACGCAGCAAACGTAAAAGTTCTATTTTGTGTACTAAATATTTCTCAAGTTATAATATTTTTATAAATAATTGTATTTATTTAAAACATTTTTTAATGGTAGCCTTATTAGGAGCATAGTGATCCAAATAAGGTCAATGGCAAGTGTCTTTGTTTTACGCAGAAACCACCACTTATATAAAAAAAAGTAATAAATTGGAGTTGATATTCAAGTAATAGAAGCGAAACACTTCGCATACAGGGTAGTTCAAAAAATATCAAAATTCTAGTAATATTTACTTAAATAAAATAAAACCTTTGCACTTTAAGGAGAGTTTTTTTAATATGGCTATTATCATTAGTAATGTTTTAACTTGTTAAAAAAAAATTGCAACATTTCAAAGTTGGGTTGAATGTCATTGCAACAAACATGAATTTTGTGATTCCATAAAAAATTAAAAATCTAAGTTAATTTTACAAATATGCTTGAATTTGAACAAAGTTATGTGAAATTGATTTGATTTTAATTAATTTTTGAAAGTATTAATGGCGGAAATAAAAAATAAAAAAAATATAGAAATTATAGATTTTTTTCGAAAGAAAATAAAGAAAATCTTAGGAGGCTATGTTTTGGTATTTAGGCTTTTAATTCCAAACAACTTTTCTTTATAAAATTTTGCTGAATTTTCTAAAATAAGGGTACTTTACAGTACAGCTTTGATATTGTTTGAGCTACCCTGTATGCTGTTTGACTTGCAACCATTTTAAGTGCACCTAATATGATTATCAAACATGCACCAACTTTTGGCCTTGTTTGTATTTGGGTAGTGCTATTACTAGAAAAAATCCCCATATGTATAGGCTCGTGATTTTTGTTGGGTTTGGTGGATAATGTTAGGAAAAAATGAAACTTCTTAATGTGGCCTTATTTGGAACAGGTACCTTACAAATATTACGGAATAATAGTAGGTACATTATACACCTAGGGACTAAAGTGGCACTTTAAACAGCATTTTAATCCTGAGGTCCTATTTTATGTACTTGACAGGGATTAAAAGTACTCTTCTATTCCCTGTTTCATTTAATCCCCGGAAAATAAAGTAAAAATTTAATCCCTTGGCAAAAAAAGTAAAATTTAATCGCAAGGATTAAAAGACTCAATTTACTCCCTTAAGACAGGGATTAAAAGGGTACTTTTAATCCCTAAAGTGCATAAAATAGATTATACGGTCGTCTCTATGGTGAATAGCTTGTCTGAATAGTGGAGATTTGAGAACAGTTGGGTTTGTTGGACGAAGAGGAACAAGGTACAAATAAATGTGACATTAAAACTTTGATTAATTCATATAAAAATAGATTAAGTATTCTACATCTACATGAAAACTTCAACAATTTACTAGTATTTCTTGAGGCGTATGATTTCAAGAATTGTGATATTATTATACTAACTGAAAGTTGGTCTATAGAGAATATTAATCTTCACAACATAATATAACTTCACAGTTTACCATCAGCAAGCTTGATTAAAAATGATGGCACTGTTGTATAATATATTAAAAATAGTATATTATGATATTTGTATAAGAGGGCTTTTAAAGCACGCGCGACATATTTAAAAACACGACGCGCAGCTTAACAGGGGTTGCCCTATTTCAAGTTAATCTTGATATTCACGGCATTAGCTATGAAATTGTTTGTGGATATACACCACCTTCCACTAACACACAATCATTCTTTAGTGACTTAGGTGATTATTACTCCACCAGAGGCAAAAAACAGATTGAGCTCTTGATTGTTGATATAAATATCGATATTTCTGACAAGAAAGATGCAGAGGTTAACCAATATCTTCCTCTTTTACATTTTTATGGCTTCTCCGGGGTCAAAAATGGCCCAACACTAGTGACATTAACCAGCAGCTCATGTCTGGACCATATTTTTCTTAGGAACAGTTTGCAGACTGGCTCAGTCAGGCAAGATTCATTTATACTTCAGAATGATATAAGTGATTTCGAAAATATAGGTCAACTGGCGATTTACTTACATACGTCACTCACTTATGGCAAAAAGCGATTGAGTTGCGGGGTGAAACAAGAACAATTGCCTTAGATATATCTAAAGCATTCGACAAAGTTTGGCATGAAAATCTGCTCAACAAGCTCAAAGCAATGGGATTATCGCCGAAACTTTGCACTTGGTTTGAAAGTTACCTAAAGGACAGATCCATTTATGTTGCACTGGATGGCCAGAACT